TTTAAGGGTGTAGTACCACAATACTTATTCTCACTTAATTAAACACATGGCCTATAATACAACTGTTAATAGTGTCCAAATAACTCTGAATTAAGTCTTTCTAACTCACAATATGATCCCCATTCTAAATAGAAGACTGCTCAAGCCAAAGACTTTGAACTATTACACTTGTATCCAAAAACAGTGATAGAATAACAGGAAGGATTAATTCATATCCTGTATCTCACCTCCTCTCCTCCCCCTCTCAGGTCTTTCTTCGGGAGTCGCTGGAGCATCGTCTGGAGAAGCAGAGGGAGATGGAAGTTCTGAAAGCGGCCATGATCATCCAGGCCCACGTCATGGGCTACATGGCCAGGTACCACTCAACAATCATACCAAAAACCTTCTCAGAAACAGTTTTAATGTTCATTCTGACCTAAAGTCCCATTTGCAAACAGGAAGCAGTACAGGAAGCTGCTGCAGTGCATTGTGGTCATTCAGAAGAACTACCGGGCTTTCTACTGGAGGAGGAAGTTCCTGCTCCTCCGCTGGGCAGCGCTTACCTTCCAGAAACGTGTGCGAGGCCAGCTGGCCCGCCGGGCCTATAGCCAGCTGCTGGAGGAAAAGAGGAGGAGGAGGGAGGAAGAGGAGGAGTGCCGCAGGAGGATGGAGGAGGAGATGGAGAGGTGGGCTGCTCAAGTTAAAGTAGAGCGATTAAGGAGAGAGATTTTCATTTACATTCTACCAATTCCTACTCTCATGTAACACCTTACCCCCAGTTTTTGTTGCTCTAAATACTCACTGTCTGGTGCTGCAGCTCTATTAAGGCGGGAAAACAAATCTACTGGTTCACCAGCAGAGATTTATGAAGCAAAGACGATAGCGCCACCTACAGAGTACATCAATAGAAAATCCAAGGAGGGCTGGGCTGTAGGCTGTAGGCTTCTCCATCTTTCAGAAACAATATCGAAAATATGACCTCATATCCTCATATGGTATCTCCAACCACACTGTCTGACTGAAAAGAGAAATGTAGGGTTAAAAAAGCAAAGATGGAGACTAAATACGAATAAATATCATGTTGATTAGTCAAAGTTACCTCTGAAAATCAACATAGTAATACCAGCACACATTTATGTACACTTACTTGGATACTTGTATTTATAAGAAGTTGTACAATGTATATGTATATGTATATAATTGTATAATGTAGAAGATGTGCTTTTTTGTTGCTGTTGCTCGGACGGACTTCTGTCTGACCTTCACAACCTGTATTCTAGATGGGTTTTATGGGAATTTAATACCACAGTGAGACGGGAAATGTAATTACGTGTGTTTTGGTAAATCTTATCTCTTACTGTCTGTTTCAGTCAGTCAGCTGATGTCTGTCTGTTTGTGTCTATGCAGGGAGAAACAGAGGCTGGAGGCTGAGAGACTCGCCAGAGAGGTACGATGAAAGTGTGTTTACAGTCTCTGTAGGCATACTTGGGTAGACTATTGAATCTTTCAGACACATTTTTCATATTATATTTTGAATTTATTTATATTTCATTTACATTATTCAACAGAGATACAGGTCATGGTTTACTATGAAATAATACAATCTCCAGTTTATTGTCGTACAGTGCTAGACTGGATCCAAAAAGCAGTTGGACGTTTTTGAGATCATACTTAACACTTAAAAAAATATCCATCTTATTGAGTTATTTTTGTCTATAATTCATTCTCCCAATACAGTAAGAGTAGTTCAACCTCATTTCCAGAACAAATCAACTTACTTCAGGAATTTTGTAGAAATTAGTCTAGGTATCTTCTATAAAAGCTAAAAATAGGCAGGCAAAGAAGAGTTCATGCAATTCATTAAAAATTACAACTGAAATAATAATGGAATAATATTAGAATCTCTTTAAAATGATCTCACATTACTGGGAGATTTATTTTAAACAATTAAGACTTTTAGGACATGTAGATGTGTAAGAAAGACAATTATTCAACCTAAAACCGAATTTTTTTGTGAAGAAGATGATGATGGAGAGGAAAGTGGAAACACAATTTCAAAAACCATGCATCAGATTTTTAAAATGTTTTGTCCTTTTTTCGTCCTCAGGCTGAGGAGGCCAGAATACTTCAGGAGGAGCTTCATCGCGTTGAGGAGTTAGTCTCTGTGGTTCAGCCTCTGCCTGCAGTTGCAGCTGCAACATCACCGGACACCTTGGAAGAGCTGGAGTCAGCAGAGGCCCTCGAGGAGGCACCTGAAAAAGAGGAGCCAGTCCGTCCTCATGAAGCGTCTCAGGTGGAGGAGATCCTGCGACTTGAGCGGGAGATTCAGGCGCTGCAGAGGCAGAAAGAGCGTCAGGAGCTCTCTCTGACTGAGGCCTCACTCAACCGCCTGCAGCTTCTCCGTGACCAGGAGCTCCGGCGTCTGGAGGATGAAGCCTGCAAGGCGGCGCAGCAGTTCCTCGACTCGCTGAACTTTGACGAGATCGATGAGTGCGTAAGGAACATTGAAAGCTCGTTGGGAGTTGGCGAAGGGGAAGAGAAGGAGAAAGAGGGTAGACGGAGGAGAGGTAACGATGAGGAAGAGGTGGATGAAGGGTTTGGGGCTGATGATGAAGCCTTCAAAGACTCGCCGAACCCGAGTGAACATGGCCACTCAGACGGCCAGCGGACAAGTGGGATCCGGACAAGTGATGACTCATCAGAAGAAGATCCATACGCCAACGATGGTGTGATCCCACCACTGCCGCCAACCACCCTGCTTCACCAGCCGCCTTTACCACCAGTGCCCCCCACCTGCCACAGCGCCTCCTCCAGCGGGGACTCTGCCTACTGCCACGCCCAGGCTTCATCCGAGGCTCAGTCCGACGACCTGGTGGAGCTCATACCGCCAGACGAGGATTCAGACTACGACCAGGATGACTACGATGAGGGCGCCATCGTGTCCAGTGGCAGCGTGGCCTTCTCCAACCCTCGCAGTGGCCAGTGGTCTCCTGACTACCGTGGCTCTGTAGGCACCTACAACGGCTCAGGGGCTTACCGCTTCAGCTCGGAGGGGGCTCAGTCATCGGTGAGTTTGGTTTCACATGATTTTGATCCGATTTCATCAGTAGGGACTGCTGACTGAAGGTAGTAGTTTAAGGGTTTCAGCAAAGCATTTGTCAGTTGTTTCAAGAACATCTACTATTCTTAGGTGTGTTAGATCTTAACACCTACATCTTGAATGTCTCATTTCTGTTGTCGTTGTTCCAGTTTGAGGACAGCGAGGACGACTTTGACAGGTTCGACACCGATGACGAGCTGTCGTATCGGCGAGACTCCGTCTACAGCTGCGTCACGCTCCCATACTTCCACAGCTTCCTCTACATCAAAGGTATCTCCTTCATTTACACTTCGGGCGGCTGTGGCTCAGAGGCATGCGAAGCAGGAAGGCGTCGGGTCCCCCTTCAGCACAAGGTTTGTATGTTCGATCCCGTGCTCCTCCTGCAACGGTCAATAGTCCCTTGATGCAAGAACTAAACCCCAAATTGCTCCCAATGCATAGCTGATTCGGTGTCGTGAATGTGTAGAAAGGGTGGAATGTGTTCGTAGTGTATAAAACGTCAGTTTCGAGTGGTCGGAAAGACGTAGGGAAGGCGCTGATACAAGTAACACGCTCCATAATTTACCATTTACTTCTTTAGTGGCCGAAGGAGAGCAGACGATTTTGGTTTATGAAGCAAATTCAAAGACTCGTAGTTACCAGGAAATTTTTTCCAAGTGGTTAAAAAATAAATATCACCGGGTTGATAGCCACCATCGCTCTGCACCCCCTGCAGTCACTGCCATCCTCTTCAGAGATGTAGCAGTAGAATGTAACCACATGAGTAAATATCTCATATTTTCCTCTCCAGGCGGCCTGATTAACACGTGGAAGCGGCGCTGGTGCGTTCTCAAGGATGAGACCTTCCTGTGGTTCCGGGCCAAGCAGGAGGCTCTGAAGCAGGGCTGGCTGCACAAGAAGGGAGGGGGCTCGTCCACGCTGTCCCGCCGCAACTGGAAGCGCCGTTGGTTCGTGCTGCGACAGAGCAAGCTCATGTACTTTGAGAAGGACGGCGAGGAAAAGATGAAGGGGGTGCTGGACATGCATAATGCCAAGTAAGGACTCATCCGGGTAGCTCGAATGTCATCAAACACTGCTGAGTCCGTTTTTTTGTGTGTTTTTGTTTTTTTTGCATTACATTTGACTTTAGTTTGACTTTACAGCTTCAAAAACATTCTTAGTGTTTTATTACTCTTACTAGAGTAATTAAACATTGTTGTTCTCTGTAAATAATTTCAAAAGGAGTAGAGTCTAGACTCTAGACCTGCTCTGTATGAAACATGTCTTGAGACTGAATTGAATTAAACACTTAGTACAAAAGAGCTGTAAAAGAATGGTGAGTTGAGTGGAATGTAATTAAGTGTTAGTTAAGCTTATTTACATAATTACATTGCGCACATGAGCTTTAGAATTAAAAATGGTCATGTTGGACATTGGTGTGCACCAATATTATGATTATGATATCTGAAATTATCACAATTACACATTATTTCAATGACTGGAGGCAAGAGTCTGCACAGATGTGATCTGAGTTTGCCGCGGTATCAAGGTCTCGCCCGGCTTCACTGTTGGGGAGTTGTCATGTCATCCATTTTTGTATTCAGTCGATGAATTACAACATTATCTCACTAACTAGGATGCAGTTCTTCTAATGGCCACTAGATGCTGACTTTATAATAACAGTACTGAAGTAAAGTAAAAGCTAAACAATTCAAAAAGATAAGAAATCACATTTTTTTTATTAATTCCTGGTGGTGATTTAGATAAATAGCAATATGAACCCTCGTAGGGGACGAGGTGAGGAACTTCTGGGGGAGATGTACCTATTTTTGTTTTTTGTGATCTGCAGAGAGATCATTGATAACACCGGTAAGGAGAATGGAATCGACATTGTGATGCCAGACAGGACCTACCATCTGATCGCAGAGTCTGCCGAGGATGCCAGGTAAGTTGTGTGTTTCTGTCAGATATTCTGTGCTAAGCTCCACACAAATAATAGGGATTATAACATAATCAGAAATGGAGTCCAAACTGCTTTACAGAGCAGGGTTTGAAAACAGTTACCCAGAAAAAGAGACTTCACCCAGTATCACCACACTGACATCTAAAAGAGTTTTCAGGTCTAAGAAGAAGACTGAAAGATACATAAATAATCTTTTTATTTCTCTCTAACTCTTCCTAGTGTTATTATTTCCCCATTAGGTTTATACCCACACTCACACATCCTCAGTCACAGACCGTGTAATGAGGAGGTGGTGTTGTCGCTATGGGGTCGGTGTGCCGGTTGCCCCCAGCAACACATTGATTTCCCCTCAGAGGGACAGTCTACTTCCTCCATATATCTGCCCTGACAGGAAGATGAACAGTGTGTGTGTGTGTGTGTGTGTGTGTGTGTATGTGCTGGCAGCAGGCTTACAGTGGCAGCCTCTCTCTCAGTGTGAGCTAACATCAGCTCCATATGTCTGAGACAGAATCAGTCTGAGTCCGCCTTATTTGTACACACACATTCTCAAGATCCAACATCATTTCATCCAATGAAACAACAGATATAGAAAGTTTGAAAGTTAGATATAGAAAGTTGACTGTTGACACTGACACAGCTGATTCAAACTAAAGTAAATTAGGTTTAAAGGTTACATTATAAAATTCCCTGCCACTAGATGTGGCACTAGAGCAGCCGCATCTCAGACCAAAAACTTCAAACTGGACAGACAAAACTCATTAAAACCGTCTTTCCAACAATCATGAATGCTGGTTTTATCGAAATAAACCCTTAATTCACTTTAGAGGTGAAGTTAGAGGTGAAAATATTTACAAAACAGCCTTTAATGGCAGCAACACAATCTTTGAGGACAAACTTACTGATCAAACTGCATCCACTAAAAGTGGTTTCTGCCACTGACAAACTCAGGTTGTTATTCTCAGGGTCTGACAGCATTATGGAAAGGATCTGGTTTGGTGGAAATAAATCCTTAATTCACCAACGTAGATGATAAAAACAGCAGTTTCAGTCACTCAGGAGAGCCTCACATGCATTATATCTATGTATACTATAATTTTGCATGTGTATCTTTCATCAAAGATTATAAAATAAGATGGATAATATATTTTCTGTAATGGATTCAAATTTAATCCCAGTTTAGTGATATAACCTGACTGAAATTACTACAAAATAAAGGTTGGGATCTGAGTAGTTTAGACCTTCATACGGGTCCTGTTCACTGACATTACCATAATGACTTGGTGACGATGCTGATGATGATGTTGTCTCCATGGTTACAGCCAGTGGTTCAGCGTGCTGAGTCAGGTCCATGGCTCTACAGAACAGGAGATCAGAGAGATGCACGATGAGCAGGCCAACCCCCAGAATGCTGTGGTGAGTACTGTGGGGGGAGCAAAGCACTGTGGGAAATGGAGTTGTAATATATCTGTATACTTCAAGTTCACACTGTCAAATGATGTCTCAACAACAAGAAGTCAAAATCTTCTTCCCAGAACTTAAAAGAATTTAATCTTCAACTCTACAATTAAATAGTGAATGTGAATATTTCTGTGTGATCTTCTTAACACACACACAGGAGTTCATTCTTTGTTCAAGCTGCAAAACTGTGCATAAACATGTTTTTTAAGCATTCATTTGTACAAATCATGAAAATAGTCAACCTCAACCCAATCGTAAAGCTAATTTTATATTTTCTATGTGTGTTTTTTAGATAAAATAGCTGGACTGAAAGGTCTCTTTTTGGCTAAACCAGTGAAGTAAAAGTTCTAACCTCCACATTGGTACAAAAACCCTGTAAATCAATTATTAATCTGATCATTGATTTTCAACATTATACTATTGTCTAGTACATCAAGAGACATTAAAAGGATAAAAACTGGTATAGAAAAATCTACAGAACACAGTTAGTGTTTATTAATGTGCTGCCTCAGACCAGTTTGTATATATACAAAGTGAAGTCAAATAGCTTCTGAATTAGTGTAATTTCTTTTAAAAGGGAAACGTCTGTGTTTTCAACCTGGACCTATTTTCTCATGTTTTTGTGTCTGAGCGAGATTGCTGCAGCCAGCAGCCTCAAAACAGTCTATACTGTATAATCCTTGGGGTGCAACTGTGCACCGTCAGTGTACCTGCGTCCACTATAAGTGCTGGTTTTTGTCAGATTGTTGACAGGATTATGGAAAGGATTCCTGCTGAGAGTAAGATCCTTTTTGTTTAACCAGAAACAGTCGTTATATCCCCGTTATACCGTTTAAAGCCACCAGACTCCATTGAAAAAAACAGTGATTTTAGTTGTCAGCACAGGAGTTGCTGGTCTACCGCTGCCTCGATTGGCTAGTTTCTTTGTGTCATTGTGGGCTTTTAACTCCACAATAAGCACATCTGCGTCTGTTCACGTCTCTTCTTCTCTTTCCATTGATTTTGTTGAAATTGTGCCACCTGCAATCCGAACATATTTTATATTCATGCCTTTTGTTCTGCTCCATACTTTCCATTCTGCGGTAGTTCTTCGTGTTGAACTGACAGCACACAGATGTGTTTGAAATGCTTTCTAATCCTCTTTTCAGTGTCGTACCTGTGAGTGAACATGTTTTATCTGTGTGTGTGTGTGTGTGTGTGTGTGTGTGAGAGAGAGAGAGATAATTGGTTTCCACGGGGCAGAGGGAGGTCAAACTCTTTATCTGCACGCTGAACACTGTTACTGAACCTCTCTCTCTCTCTCTCTCTCTCTCTCTCTTCAGGGAACGTTGGATGTGGGGATGATCGATTCGGTTTGTGCGTCAGATAATCCAGAGAGGTAAGAACCTGCATCAAACGTCACGTCACGTGACTGGCTGCACTTTTTCACACACTACAGCAAAGAAATGGGAAGAGAAAGGATCAGTTAGATGAAAGGCAACACTCCTCATTCAGACCTGTTGACCTGTTTCTGGAGCTTTTTGTAGGTGCAAGATTTAACAGCTTAGGTTTAATCATATATGTTTTTCTAATATGGTATCTTGTTACTGATTACTGCTTCAGTGACTAAATTTTATTTATAATTTCCAAAAATGTCATTTGTAACCCAGTTGCCCTTTAAATTTTTGTTTTGTACTTTATACCCACCTTTATTTTATTTTATTCGGTTTGTAATTGATCAGCTACCTCTTCCTGCTGTTAGTATCTCTATTAACTGCATTTCTGAACCGCCACAGGCCGAACTCCTTCGTCATGATCACAGCGAACCGCGTGCTGCACTGCAACGCCGATACGCCCGAGGAGATGCACCACTGGATCACTCTGCTGCAGCGCTCCAAAGGAGACACCCGCGTGGACGGACAGGAGTTCATTATCCGAGGTGACAACGCAGAAAAGCAGAAAACTAGTTCAGGGGCCGTATGACAGAATCTTCTTAACTTTGAACTCTGCATTAAAAATGGTCCTCCAGTGCCTACGTTGGTGTTTTTGCTTATTGTGATATGATTATATATGTCAACAAACCTTAATAATTAAAAGATGAATTAATAATTAATTAATTATTTCATACCATGATGTGCAGGATTTTGCACAATAACATTAAACATTTGGGAATCTACAGGTTGAGCTGACATTAAGTGCTTTTATGCTGCTACACTATGTGTCTACACTAACACTTCTGAAATGACATCATGTGATGTTGAAATGATAAAATGAAAAGAAAAAACAAATTCAAGCAATACAAATATCTGATTCCTTTATTTCCTCCAGGCTGGTTGCAAAAGGAGATGAAGAACAGCACCAAAGCCTCGCTGAAGCTGAAGAAACGCTGGTTCCTGCTTACCCACAATTCCCTAGATTACTACAAGAGTTCGGAGCGTAACGCCCTAAAGCTGGGAACGCTGGTGCTGAACAGCCTCTGCTCAGTGGTTCAGCCCGACGAAAAGGTCTTCAAGGAGACCGGTAGGAAAAGAAAATATGGACACATTTTTTTAATATATCTCATTGATATTCGTGTCATTAAAAATGTTTTATTCGGGGCCTTCTTCATGTCATCCCGACAGGCTACTGGAACGTGATCGTGTACGGCCGCAAACACTCATACCGTCTCTACTGTAAGCTGCTGAATGAGGCCATGCGTTGGGCCAACTCCATCCAGAACGTCATCGACACCAAAGTGCCCATCGACACGCCGACCCAGCAGCTCATCCAGGACATCAAGGTAGGCAGCTAACAGACAGGTCATCAGTGGTTCCCAGAGGGACCCCTGTTTTATGATTGATGTTTCATATTATATTCAATGCATAACAATGACAGCAGAGAACAGCTGATAAACTGCACAATGAACCCAAATAGTGAACGCAATAACTGCAGGAAGTTTGTATAAAACGAGAGACTTGAATTGATTTTGAGCAGTTTCCTAATAAGAGATGAGTTTTCCTGATAATTTTAGGGAACTTTTTATTCTACTCTGTCATGTCTCATGTCTGTATTCTGTATTTTGGGATTTTTAACAATCATACATGTTAATAGACTTTTTGACTGATTCAGTGTTTTCCTCTCATTGTTCTTTCAGCTCTTTTGTTTTTTGAACTGTTCTAATGCAGGTCGAGGCTGTTTATGTGAATATAGCTTGTGTTCATGTGTCTTCATCGTGACCTTATCCTGTTTATATCTTCAATACTAAGATAAAAAATAACAACTTTATTTAGTTTTCTTCACAGAAATGAATTAAATATTGATATATAGACCTACTCTGTAAGTTTTCTTACAACCCTTATAATCAAGGAGGCCTCACGACCCCTAGTGGGAGATTAATGGATTTTTTTTAATGCAGGAAATAGTTATACTTTATTATTACCTTTTTAAACAGCATGTGATGACTAGATTTGTTATTTTTAGTCCACCACACCACAAATCCTACTATTTATTCAGATATTTGACAAAAGCTATAAGAAAAACTAGGACAAATAAACTAGGAAACTTTGGATTATCCAGCATCCATTATCTGTGCAGGGTCGCTGGAGGCTAGAGTGTATCCCAGCATGCATCAGACAGACACAGTAAACACTCTGGATGCTTGTATATCAGAGGAAAATACAGATAAACAAGATACAACCACACTCATGTCCACAGCTGAGTGAGGCTCACGGACAAAACCTCACAGAAATGTGATGAATGTTGTTCTTTTCTCCATTTAATTGTGATCATAACTCCAAAATTCAGGTCTCATTGACTCATGTCTTAAATTACTGCAATTGAAAATACACATCCAGAGACTGAACTGATGCAAAGATGTCAGTCCTTGCACAGTCTGCACATACATCATTCTGCACAGTGAAGCTCAAATGTCCAACTGTAGGAACGAGAAGAAAAACAGATTTTTGAAAGGGGGACTTTAAATAATCAGGATCCTCTCTGCAGGAGAACTGTCTAAACCTGGAGGTGGTGGAGCAGATCTATAAGAGGAACCCTATCCTTCGCTACAGCCACCACCCGCTGCACTCACCGCTGCTGCCGCTGCCCTACGGAGATATCCACCTCACCGGTGAGTCACAGATTATAATCAGGACATTCAACAGTAATCAAGTAAGACTGAAATGTCAGCAAATAGAAGCTGCTGTATTATCAGGTTTGGTAATCAGCATGGAATTGGACATTTTCACATTTTTATGGCAATTTATGGAAAATGTTAGATTCAATTCAATCACCTCATTACTTTAATAGTTCCATCACAAAACTCTTTAAAAATGTGTGCTTTTAAAAGTCTTAATGGCTGTTTTTAGTTATTCTAGTTCTCTTTTTATGTTTTTTAATCTAGATATTATATTTGGGTCTTCGAAAAGGCAGTTAATTTAAAACATGACCAAAAAATGGATGCCAAACATACCTTTCTTTCTAAAAATTGCCAATATCTGTGTTTTACTGTATCCATATCTTGTTATTAGAGTTGAGATTTTGTCAGAAAAGGGTATAATGAGTGATGAAAATAGGAGGTTACATGTTGGGGCAAATAAATGAAGGATGTCAAGGAACCACAATGGAAAATAACATCATTAAATGGCAGGAATTTAATTTTAAAGATAGATAAGGTGGATTTTTAAAAACTTAATTTGTTGATATTATTGCAGAATTTATTAGAAGATACAAACAATAAAGAGTTTTTTCACAGGATATACCACTAGGAAGGCAAATTAAATTTAAGACTGGTCAGGTGACATTACATATCTTGACCACAAACACAGTAATGTACTAACAAACCACAAAAACTAATGTAATGACCACAATCCAACAATGAACACAGTCTATCCATCACATCACAAACCCCTTCCCTCCCTCCCGTTCAGTTCCGAGAAACAGGAGCTACACAACGCTGCAGGATGAAGCCCTCAAAGTGTTCAGCTCTCTGCAGCACCTGGAGGGCGTGGCCGACCCCGTGCCCATCATCCAGGGCATCTTGCAGACCGGCCAGGAGCTCAAACCTCTGCGGGACGAGCTCTTCTGTCAGCTGATCAAGCAGACGACGCGACCACCGCAGCCTGGCAGCCCCGGGAACCTCTGCAGCTGGAAGATCCTGGCCTGCATGTCCTGCACCTTCGTCCCGACCAGGAGCATCCTCAGATACCTCAAGTTCCACCTGAGGAGGTAATGGCATGTTAAAGATGGATGAAGACTTTTTTCTTAAAGTTGGTGCAGTCTCTCATGTTGACCAACCCAAATCACTTTCTCGCAGGACCCGAGAACTCTTCCCCGGCTCGGAGATGGATCGCTACGCCGCCTTCGCCATCGACTCTCTGAGGAAGACTCGAGCCAGAGAGAACGTCCCGTCGCAGGAGGAGATCCGCTCCATCGTGGCCCGGCAGGACATGAGCACCACCGTTCACTGTCATGGAGGAGGATCCTGCAAGATCACCATCAACTCGCACACAACAGCCGGAGAGGTGGGTTTCTGAAAATATAGAGACAGAACCAACTAGTATTCAAAGGTTAACCCACAATGCTACTAAGTACATTCAGGGTTCCCACGTGTAAATTCTACTTAATTTGTTACTTATGGGCTGTGGCTAAAGTAAAGTTACAGTTAGAGGTAAACTGTAGTAAAATGCAATCAGTTTATTGGAGAGTATGTGGAGATTTAACACGCTGTGTGCCATTAACACTGACCACCTACCTGTAATGAAGCATCTGGTAAATGATATGACCGTTTGTGAGTCATATAATGTTGTGTGTTTTCCTGTATTGTCCTGGAAAATGTCCTGGAAAATGATTTCTAAAGACAAGTGGGAACCCTGACAGTTCCCGCTTTAGTTCACCTCTTTTGAATGGTCATTTTTGTGCATCTTTCATTATTTAATCTGATCTGCACATTTTGGAAAATTCCACTGTGGATTAATAGGCATTGCCTCTAAAAATAGCGGTGGTTGTTTCCATCTTACTCTGTGTGTGTGTCAGGTGGTGGAGAAGCTGATCCGCGGCCTGGCCATGGAGGACAGCAGGAACATGTTTGCTCTGTTTGAACACAACGACACCACAGAGAAAGCCATCGAGAGCCGCATGGTGGTGGCCGACGTGCTCGCCAAGTTTGAGAAGTAAGCGTCCGCAGTGTGTGTGTGTGTGTGTGTGTTTTTGTGTCTGAAGCAGGCAAATGTTTCCTGCCCTCCGGCCTTCATTAACTCACTCTCTGGTCTCCAGGCTTTCAGCCAGCGCAGACGAAAACAACACCGGCTGGAAGTTTTACTTCAAGCTCTACTGCTTCTTGGACACGGACAATGTTCCCAAAGACAGCGTGGAGTTCGCCTTCATGTTTGAGCAGGTAAGACAGACTTTAAAGCAACCAGTTATTCTCAGCTCAGATTGACAGATGGTTCATTCAAACACTCACATTGTCGAGGAAAAAAACATTTCAAGTACCAAAAACTGCCATCGAATGTATCATCAGGTTCATACGTTCACACACACACACACACACACACACACACACACTTACAAGGATACAATGTTATTGAATTTACAACACATATATAATAAAATTAAAATTCAAGTTTTTTCATTTTTTATTTAACTTTTATTTAACCTGGACCTTGAGATTGAAATCTCTTTTCTGAGGGAGATCTGGCCAAGATAGCACGCCAGTTACAATTTAAATAGAAATAATTTGTGGACCGACCGACCAACAGCTAAAAAACAAAGCTTCCTAACTGAGGCACTTGTTCTTGAAGCTGTCTTTAATGCATTTCCTCTATTTCTGCTGTCTACAGGCCCATGAAGCCGTCATCCGTGGTCAGTATCCGGCCCCTGAGGAGACTCTTCAGTTCCTGGCTGCCCTAAGACTTCAGTATCTCCTGGGCGATCACAGCTCCCAGGCCAACCTCCCTGAAATGTCCCAGGTGTTCCCCATGGGGCGATTGCGGGCCCGGGTGCAGAACTCAGCCAAGACGTTTGCTCCAGGCACCGGCTCGGTGGCCGACCGCTCGGGGACAGCGGAGAGAAAACGCTCGAGCTTCCTGGAGGGAACGCTGAGGCGGAGCTTCAGGAGCGGCTCCCTGAGTCGGCAGAAGCTGGAGGAGGAGAACAGCCTGGAGGTGTGGATGAGGGAGGAGGCGGCAGCGGTGAGAACCAGCGTGATGGACAAGTGGAAGAAACTGCAGGGGATGAACCAGGAACAGGCCATGGTCAAATATATGACTCTGGTGAAGGAGTGGAAGGGATATGGATCCACGCTGTTCAATGTCGAGGTGAGGACGGAGCAGAAATAATCCCTAGATGGATCCCTTCTTCGATTATTTTGTTACATTCTGTCAAATTTTATGAAATTATATATTTTAGATCTTTTTACTTAATTTATGTATATGTATTAATTTATGTCATTGTCAAACTGTAATTATATTTGAGAGTATTTGTGTTCACCCGTATGAAATGACGAATGATTTTTGCTAAGTTTTGGAAAAAATTAAGAAAATACCTAGTTATACAAAAATTCACTTGCCACTGAATGTCGCACTCAAGCACTCAGACCAAAACAATGGGCACTGAAGGAATAACTATCCCAATTCTTAAAATATTATGTAAGTCAACTACACAAAAGAAAATCACAAGTACTTCATTTTCTACATCAGTCCAGTCAAACATCAGAGCTCTCATGCTTGTCGTTCATTTGACATTTAGTGTCGGGACGGCACGTTCCCTTCTGAGCTGTGGTTGGGCGTGAGCCGGGAGGCCATATCGGTGTACAAACGAGGAGAGCCGTGGCCTCTGGAGGTTTTCCCGTATGAACAGATTCTCTCCTTCGGAGCTCCGCTGCCCAACGCCTACAAGATCGCTGTGGAGGGTCGAGAGCTGGTCTTTGAAACACAAATGGTACAATTCCTTCAAAACTGTTGGTTTCTTGATGATGGAATTCATTCATTTCACTCTAAAATTTGTCATCATGAATGCTGGTTTGACTAAACCATAAGTAATAAATCCTCACACATCTATGAAAGCATGCAGATAATCAAATGAAACACCATGAACTGTATAAACGCCTGTCCTCTCCTCTGCAGGTCATGGACATCGCCAAGCTCATGAAGGCCTACATCAGCATGATCGTCAAGAAGCGCTACAGCAACTGCCAGTCCGTCAGCAGCCACGGCAGCCAGTGCAGCGCCTGGTGAACTCTGCCCTTTAACCTTTGAACTTATGGCCACTTGCCGAGTGCCACAGGAGGTCGAGAGCGGCAGCCACTGGCCATGCATGGACGCACATTCTCGGCACTCTGGAGAGAGCAACTCGTGCATTTGACATGTCTGACTGACTCTGAATGCTGGAGACAAACCACAATGCTCTTAATGTTAACTAGCTCAAATTATTATTTTATGACTGGTTTCATTCCAAAACATTAAACATCCACACCGGATAGATCAGAACTTCAAAGCAAACGCAGTCAGCAATCATTGCAAGCTGCGAGGACTTAAAAAAAATACTCCAGGTGACTGGATGAACTGTCTGTCTATTACTGTCTATCATGGGCGAACTTCATCCAATCAGATCAACAACCATAAAACGTAATCAAACTCGGGGAAAGAGCGAAAACATCTTTGCCATCAAAAAAAGCCTTCACTGCCGTTCTTAGCTCTTCTTCTCACAAGGTTATCTAGGAAGTTGACGAAACCAGAAAAGTTGTGCATCTCTTTGGGAGAAAGTTTCAACAAGGTTCAAAATATGGTGGCCTTTGTTTCCAAAGGTTCCAATGGTTAGAAAAGGATGACCAAACCAAATTTCTTTGGTTGCCAGCTTTTCAAATCTCCCTCCAACAAACTAGCTACTTGAGTCATTTTAAGTAGTACTTTGTAATTGGGCAGCGCAAACTTAGAAAGCCTGGCAGTTATCATTGAGAGAACTGGATAAATTGACCTCAATATTCTCAATTTATTTGCTTACTAGAGCCATGAAGGCAAGCCATTATGACCATGACATCTTAAAAAGCATTGTTGTTTCTCTAACTACAAAAAACCACATCGACATATTTTAGTCCAATAACAAAATAAAACTGGCTCATAACAAAAGTACATGATGGAAACAACTAATCAGAACCACTGATCAACTCCTGAAGTACCCAAATACAAAAGACACCAAAGAAAACCAGCTGAAGGTTTAACACAACCTTGTTTTCTCATCAGTTTGCTCTAAAAGTGTGGATGTGTCTTGTTTTGGAATGAAACTGTTCATTTCTTCCCGATGCTAACATGTTGTGGCACTATAAGGACGGTTGTTGGAGGATGGGGCTATTTGTTACTGAGGTTTTTGTTTGTGTGGCTGTATGTATGTATGTGTGTGTGTGTGTGTGTTGTGGTGTATGTGTGCGAATGTGAGTTTAAGAGGGTGTGTTACATGTTGAAGTGTAAAAAAAAAAAAAAAAGAGCAGAAAATAGAGAAAAGAAACCAGTTAAAGCCTACAAGCCTTTTCCTCTGCTTTGAAAAACTCTGGGACTTGACCTTCGATATAAACCTTCTCCAGGACGAACTGTAAATAATATGCAACTGTACTCAAGCATTTCAAGTTTGTGATTGATTGTTTGTGATTGATTTGCTGGTGATACGAAGGTCACGCAAGTGCCTGTTCAATCTAAAGCAGGACGAACTCAAGTTAGACTTTGTCTTACCGATGCCACTCTTGTTGCTCTGTAACCAGAATCTGGAAGGTGCTCCCACGTTCCCTTTAACTACCAATGTACTTACACTGCAGAATCGTCCACATATGCAAGTCGTTCAAGCTAAACTTGAGTATTGAAACTATATTTTTCTTGTAAACTCTCCAGAAAATCGAATGTTATCACATCCACTCTCCAAATCTTTGTTGGAAAAACTCGGAAGAAGAAGAAGCACTTGCTCTCAAAGAAGATTTCAAGAGACCATGGTGGTCTTCTTAGTGAGCAAGTGCTTCTTCTTCATTTGAATTTTTCACAACTGGTGTCATAAACAGGATCGGGATAAAAGCATTCTTTTTCAATTGCAACACCACAAACATCCCCTTCAAACTGCAGAGGCCTGAAGTCATATATCACCAATGTACTGGGATATATACTTTAATATTTTGGCGTTCTTTTAATGTTTGGAGAGGTTTCTTTTCTTGCACCAAACTGCATACTAAGAGATCAGTAATCATTCTTCTGTGTTGAGTACATTTGAACCACAGACAGTCGTCTTTTTTAGTTTACATAATTGCTTCCCTGCACCTGCAAATGCACAAAAGCCACAAAATATGACTGAATATGAATATGTCTAATTTTTTCAAACCCTCTGGATGTTGCAGTCCTTGAATGACACATTATGTAATGCCCTTTTAGGTAACTTGGATGGCAAGGGTTGAAACATTAGAAGTTAGCGTTGGGCTTTGATGCGATCAATCAGATTTTAGTTTGAATGACTTGCTCAGCTGGACTGCCTGCAGTGTAACATTCCTACAACATTTCAC